GCTTCACACAGAGGCTTGCTGATCTCTTCCGCCATCTAGTGGAAGCAGGTGCAAAACCGAGTACGTCTGTCTACCATTTTCTGTCGGGTTTTGCCCTCTTGAGCTAAAGTCCACCCTGGACTTGTGCGTGTCTCACCAGGGGCAATTTTTCCAGCAACATGTCCACCATGGCGCCGCTGCCGTACAGCTGGAAGGCAGCGGCCTTCTTGGCCATCTGCTCCGCCTCGGCGCGGCCCTTGGCCTCCACGGCGTATGCCTCTGCCTCGCCTTTCATCTGCCGCCGGGAAAAAAAAAAAAAGTTGGTGTGTATTACTGAAAAAAAAAAAGATAACATTGAAAAAATTTGCAAATTTTTTTTTCGTCACCCTGATGGACTCAGCCTCCGCTTCCGCCTCCATGATCAGCTTGAGACTGCGAGCACACAAAAAGAGGCAACAAAAAGTCAGTAAAGTCAAAAATGGTGAAATTGTTGGCAAAACAGGCGCGACTGACCGCTGGGCCTCGGCCAGCTTCTCCAGGCGGTACTTCTCGGCCTCGGCGGGTTTCTTGACCTTGGCCTCCAGCTCCTTCTCCTTGCGCGTGATCTCCTGCTCTTGCAGCGTGATCTGCTGGCTGCGCTCCACCACCTGCACTTGCATGCGCTCCTCCTCGATGCGCTGCTTGGTCTTGGCTACCTGCAGCTGGTAGGCCATCTCCGACTCGGCCTTCTTGGTGTTCACCTGCATGTCATACGCCGCCTTCTTCAGCTCGTAGTCGCGCTGCGCCTTGGCCATGTCGATCTCGTTCTTGTACTGCGCCGAGACCTTCTCCTGCATGGCGTGTGCCTCCTTTTTTTTTTTTTTTAAAGAAAGCAAATACAAGTCAGCATAAGTTTACGAGAACAGCTGAAGTTTATTTGCGGCACTTGGATTGTTGGCTGGTGTGTGCAAACTCACATTTAACACAAGAGTCTGAATGTGACTTGTTTATTCTGAAGGCAGCCACGTTGCCAGTTTGTAAGTAAATAACGAATTCAATATCTGAAGCGAAAAGTAAGCAAACGGCTCAGGAAAAGCCGACTAGAACAGCTGAACTTTATTTGGGGGTAATTGAGTTGAATCAACTCAAGTTCTGCATTCTCATTTGCAGTGCATTTTTTTTTCCTCAAATGGGGCGACGAAGTGAATCTGCTCACCCTCATGACGGCGTCCCTCTTGTTGAGCGCCTCGCCGATGCGAGCGTCTTTTTGCACCTGCGCCGTGCGACCCTTCCCCAGGGAGTGCAGGTAATCCTGAGCAACAATCACAACAAAACATACTTCATAAAAACACACAATGGATTGCAACTTGGAAAAAAACAGCGGTTTCTTTTATGTTTAATATGTGGGGCGGTATTTATGGGGTGGGGTGGGGGGGGGGGTCAAAGTGTCACTGCACTGACGCAACCACCGACCTGGTCGTCATGCACGTCTTTGAGCGTGTAGCTGACCACGCTGATGCCCATGTTGAGCAGGTCAGACGACGCCACTTTGAAAACCTGCTCAGAGAACTTCTTGCGGTCCTTGTAGATCTCCTGCGAAAAAAAAATGAGCGCATAATAAATCGCAATCACGAGTCCGGCCCTCGTTTCAAGTCACCTCGACAGTCAGGTGCGCGATGATGGCCCTCTGGTGTCCCTCCAGCGTCTCCAAGGCAATGTGCGCTATCTCCGCCTCCGACTTGCCCATGAACATCTGGCAGGCGGCGGCTAGCATCTGCTTGTTCTGACCCTGAATCTTCATCTATGGAGAAATTGAGATTTAAAAAAAAAAAAAAAACGTATTGTGAAGACAAAATCTGCCGAGTCTCTTCAGGGCTGAGTCGAGCTTCCACCTGACCTGTGCGATGCCCGTGACGGAGATGGGCACGCCATGGCGGGTGTACACTTTGTCGCTCTTGACGTTCAGGGTCAGGGTGTTCAGCGAGATCCTGAGATTGTTAGTCCATGATAAAAAAATATGTAAATGTATATTGTGATATTAGTTTGAGAAACACCTAGATGGACAGCTCAATACACTGTTCCACTGCACAATATTTTTGTGTTAACCTTCCAAAGATTGGGGGGCAATGAGTGGCAATTTTTGGCATGGGCATTATAGGCGGACACACAGGGCAACATTAATGGGTGTGTGGGGGGTTCTGTTTCCTCAAAGTTAATAAATCTCTTCTGTTGCTATTTTTGTAGATCTTTAAAGCTGTGTAATTTTTGCTACCTCTGCAACTTCTGAATGCAGGGGATAACGAAGACCCGGCCACCGGCGATCATCAGCGGTGGGGAGCGACAGAAGCCTGGGATGTGGTGGGCGGCAGGAAAAAAAAAAAACAAAGACATTGTCTAAGAAGATACAAAAAAATTCTAAACAACACAGCCATTGAAAGTTTGCAGGGGTTCCAGTTTGAGAGCCGCTGCCGTCGTGCATGATGAGAGGGAGTTACCTGACACCACCATTGCTTCGTTGGGCCCACAGGTGTAGAACATGTCGGTTGGTGCTCCTGGAGCCTGAAAAGCAAACTCATGTACAAAGAGGACCGCAGGATGGCTTTCTTCTTAGTGTACTCATTACGAGAAAGGATACGAGGGCGTGCATTGATAACAATCGTGTATTTAAAACGCACGCCCTGTTTGAGTACTTCAGAAAAGTGTATTGTGAGCTGCTAAATGTAGTTGGTATGTTTCAATATTTACACGTAAAACCAAAGTATAGACACAATTGTGTATAAGATTAATACAAAAATCAACCTATAATTTCTAGTGTTTATATGACTAAAATAGACCCAATAGACGCATTTCCAGTATTTGTTTTACTGCGTAATCTTTGTAATGATGACGTATTTACGCAATGACGTCGTCAACGTCATTGAGCGCCTTTCAGCAACAAATAGATCCGTCTTTCGCAAGATCCCCGGAAAAAAAATACTTGGGAACACTAGGGGGAGTTAGCAAATTGCATTTTATGTCAAATATCGAAATTAGCACAAAACAAATTGTGAGAGGTTTACCAAACAAAGAGAAAAGATGATTGAAACCTACCTTCGAAGGAAGAGCTGAACGGGGTTTGCGTTTGTGTGGATGAGACAAGGACAGCGTAGACGCGTTGCAGGTGGTCGAGTCGCAAAATAATAATGATAAACAGTAACCGATGCGCTCGGTTGGAGCAGACGGTACAGAAATGATGACGTAAATTCCCGGTGGCCGTCGATCGAATGACGCTTGACTCTTTTCTAACGAGGATGTCCGACGAGAAAAGTGTGTTATGTCGCCCTCAAAAGGCCAAATGAGGAATCACAGCAACAGTACGCCGTGTGGCTCGAGCACTTGCTGGTGCTTTTTTTTTTTTTTACCGTTTTTCATGTGTGTTTAACCTGTAGCATAGGTAATATACTCTTAAAAACAGAAATTCACGCTTATTTTACATTTATATGTTGCCTATTCCCATGTTTTTAATATGCAAAATGTTACGTTTTAAGTCATTGCACCTTTAAACTCCCATTTTCTGGGTATTTCGAGCTTTAATTTCACTTGTTTTGAGAACCGTTGCCCCTCATATTTAAAGGTTTCGTCATTTATTCACATTTTTCAGCAGTAATGTATTAATTCTGATAGTACAGCAGAGAAGCCCTTGTGTTCCCCGACCACCTGCCACGGTTATTTCGTGAACACATAATCAATCACACGGAAAGCGTCTGTATCCAAATAGAGCGCCAGCTGGCGGCTTCGGGCAATATTTACCGAAAGCAGCCGAAGATTCCCGAGCGTCGCCGAGTCCCTGAAGGCGCACAAAGGCGGCATCGTCGTGGTCGTCGTTACGCTGAAAGTCTCGCTCTTGCTCTCCTCGTCTCTCTCATTCTCTCGTTTTCTCCAGATGGCCGCCGTGCTGTGGTGCTTTCAGCTTGGACGAGCTTGTTGAAAGAGGGAAAAGGTGATTTCCGCACACAAATAAGGAACACTCTGCGTCCTCGTTTCTCCAATACGACGGAAGGTAACAACCAACTATTACACTGCAGCACCTTGTACTGAAACGAATGCACGATTAGCATTTCGTACTCTTGGTTTTGGGGCGGATTGTCATTTCAAGCATCTTCATACCACCACGAAGCATCTACACACACAATGGACTTTTTATAAAAAGTCACACATGCATTCATTGCCTCTGTTTATTGATTATGGGATGAACATGTGCCACGCATGCATTCATTGCCTCTGTTTATTGATTATGGGATATATTTGTATGAACATGTGCCACATTATTTTTGCTTTTGAAGACTTCTCATCCAAAGTGTTCTTTACCATGCCCTAATATAGCCTATAGATAAAGACATACATATCATTATTTATTTGCTTGCTACAAACACAGGATGCCCCCACCCCTGACTCCCCTCCTCCGTCCATAAACTCATAATGCACATATTTGACCATAACTGCACTCCCATCTTCCTCCATCTTTCTTCCATCTGGGACCCCCCTCCGCTGAGTGGGGCGGGACAGGCAGCAGGCATGCTGGTCCCGACACACCCTTGGCTGCAACACTGGCTGCATGGAGGAAGATGAAGAGGAAAAAGATGAGGAGGAGGCGAGGCCTCGCGGAACAAGAGAGGACTGAGCGAGCCGTTTGTTTAAATGGGATTGAAGCATGCTAAAATGGCGTCTGATTTTCAGGGGTTATGAGAAAATGTAACGTGAGCAACTGTGGTGGAATTGTAATTGTACCTTGACTTGCTTGCTTTGCGGTGCGAGCCAAAATTTTAGGTGAGAGAGAGCATCGACACTCAATTGAAGTGGACAAAACAATTTAGCAATGAGCAATTTAGGTACTAAAATAGCCTCAAATGTGAGGGCGAGAGGGCCTCAGTCACCGATGCACTGTCAGCCATTGGGACAACCCGCCAAACCAACATGCAAAATGAAAACGCTTTCAAGGAGCTGCCCTCGACCTCAACTCACAGCCAAATGCTCACACGCAGATAAACCAGACTCACTAGGCCATGCCTCTTAAACATATCCTTTTTTCAAATAACGAATATTCACATACACCCAAAAAAAACTGAGAATCCAACTGAGTGTAAGTGGAGAGTGATGGAAGCCCTACACCTCTTCCTCCTCCTCCTCGCTGAGTGACTGACTCGGCCGGATGGAAGCTGCCGACGTCAACAAAGCGGTGCTAATTGCAGCTAATTGGCAGGGGAGCAATGACCACCCGTCAAGAGGGAAGCGTTTAGCCAGCATGCATTTGGTACCTGGGCCTTCAGTGGCGACTTCATCAACCTCTTCTTGGGGGGGGGAACCCTCAGTCTAAAGCTTCCATATGTGTCAAGAACATTTATTTATTTATTTTTTTACATATATTCTAATATAGGATCACATCAGTTCATTATAAATGAGTAGCAATGGCCAAAATATTACGAAAATATACGAGGCATATATCACATGATTATGAATTTGTCTTACAGGCTTCATGAATTATGCATAAAATATGTCCTCTCAATTGCACAATATTGATTTTGGCTGATATGTGACACCATATGCCAATAGTTAATCAATCCTACTCTGACAGGGATAGTTATTTTTCTAAATATGTAGATTGTGTCTATGGTGTATTATCTAATAAACTTTTCTGTTTCTTTTTTTTCCCCCAGCCTGCGTGTTGAAGATGAGAGGCATGGCGTGTGTGTTGCTTAGCAACCTGCTCTGCACGGGTAAGCCTCTCGGCTCACTGGGAAGACGCTCATTTTACAAATCCACCGTGTTCCACTTAAGTGCTCCCCCCTCACCGTATTTTGTGCAAACTCAGCATATCGACCCCCCCCCCTCCCAGCCCCCTCCTCCCTCATGCACTATTGTGAGCTGTCGCGACATTTCAAAGGCTCCGGCACCAGGAATGCTTTCAACTTATTTAAAGATCAAATACAAGTAAACGATGCCACGATTTGTTAAATTTAACTATCTCAAACCTTTATTGTCATTTTCAGCTGCATCAGCGTCCTTTAAAGGTAAGCTTGACCTCCACCAAAGTTTGGCAACAGCACAACTGGGATATTGTTCACTGAGATAATGTTGATAAAGGTGAGCATAGGGGATGAAAAATTATCAAAATGGTCAACATACTCAGCTCAGTTCAACTTTATTTTTATAGCATTTTAAAAACAAGAAACAGCAAATACAATGAAAACAGCAGGGCCCCAAAACTGAACTCTGTGGAACACCAAATGACAATGGGGCAGACTTACTAACTAAACTATATTTTCCAGTCAAGGAAGAGCACAGGACGGCCTTCTTCGGTGAAGACATCCACATCGACATCCCGGCTGGTGACGTCGGCCAGGTGGTCTTCCGTCCCAAGACCAACAAGAGCGTGGAGGTGCCGCTCCTTCGTGCAGGAAAAGTGTTGCACCGACGAGCTCGTCTCAATCCCTATGGCCACCTAGTGCTGGACGACGTGCAGGAGGAAGACGAGGGCGTCTACGTGGTCAGCAGGAATGAAGGCGTGCTTCGGCGCCTCACTCTTGACGTCCGAGGTAAACAACAACAAGGGGAAAAAAATGGACAAAAGAGTTCACATCAGCCTCGTATATTTGGGTTTTTTTTGTTTGTTTGTTTTTGTCTTTAGATTGTGCCGTGGAGGAAGTGGTCAAGTACGGAGACACTTACTACATCCACTTGAACCAGGTGCAAGGTCCAATCAGCTTGGAGTTCAGGTACGCTTACCTTGATGTTGTTCACAAAAAAAAAAACAAAAAAACAAAAACCCTTGCCTAACCCTAAACCATAAATTCTAAACCCTAACCCAAATCCTAACCCCAACCTTCAAAATCTTCGACACTGGAAGTTTCCCCTCTTGATCCACTCTCTGATCCCCATCGCCGCTCAGGCCCGGTCCTGTCCGCCACGTCAACCATTCGGACTTCCTGCACGCAACCGAACCTCCGGCCGCACTACTCTTCCGGCACACGCTGGTGCTGGCCGACGCCTACGCCGGACGCCTGAGTGTGACCGACAAGAGCGTGGCGCTGCACTCGGTCAAGATGGCTGACGAGGGCAGTTTCACCGTGCGCGACCACGAGGGGAAAGTACGAAGGAGGAACTGCCTTCATGTGCGAGGTGAGGCGGAAACCCATGCCTGTTATACACTACAAGTCCCCTTTAACGTTTCCCTTGCGACCGCAGAGCACCAGGACTTCCTGCACCCTTCCAATGGAGCCGACATGACCGTAAAACTCTACCTGGACCACGGCGAAGTAAATGTGGTCTACAGGCCCAAATCCGGCCACCAGGACCGTCCGATCCTGGAGCGAGGCGTTCTGGTGACACCGCCGGAATCCCAGCTGGCAGGCCGCGTCAGCGTGGACGGCTCGGAACTGCTGCTGAGGAAGGTGCGAGGGTCTGACGAGGGCGTCTTCAAAATCACGGACCTGGCAGGGTTCCCCGTGGCTCACGTTTACGTGGACGTGGTTGGTAAGAAATAGGGTTACGATAGTTTGGGGTTTTGCTATATAGTGTTTATTTCATATTTTTTATTTTTAATTCCATTAGACTGAATTGGTTTTAAAAGTGGGTTTGTTTTTATTGTTTTCAAAAGGGTCAGCGGTAGTATAGTGTACTTCTCCCCAAAGACATATTTCCTCACAGACATATATTTTTTTATCCTCTGTGGAAAATATTACTGTGGCTTACTCAGTTGTTGTGACCGTCTTCTTTGTGTAGATAGTACATTTGCCTGCATTATACCGCCCCCTGGTGGAGCTGCATAATTAATGAAATCGTTTTGAATTATTTAAAACCTATTTATTGTGTGATTGATGTATGTTTTTAATATAGCGCATTACTTTAGAATTGTTTTATTTCAAACAAAAAATGTTCCAGAACATTTTTGCATATGAATTGACAACTGTGATTAAGCTCCACCTTTTGCGATGTCGCCGGGCAGCCTCCAAGCTGCCGCCGCTGACGTTGGCCGTGCTGTCGCTGCTGAGCCTGCTGGCCTTCATGCTGCTGCTGTGCTTGCTGTCGTGCCTCTACAAGGTGCACAAGAGGAACGAGAAGAACAAGAAGCTGACGCTGCTCGCCCAGCAGGCCGGCAAGGGCGAGGAGGGCGAGGCCTTTCGACAGGTAATGCCTCGCCGTACCGTCTCGTGCCTGGTGGCCGCCGGTGCGGTACGTGAATTTGGAAAGAAAAAAAAAACAAAAACAGACCATATTTGAGTTTTGAAACGCACAGGTCAGTTGTACGTACTTGAGGTTATTTTTAGAGCACTTAAAAGAAAATGCAGCCGCAACAAAGTGTGGCACGTAAATAGAATCAAATATAAAATACGACTATTATTACTGCGACTATAACGACGACTGTCATTACTGATAATAATACCCAAAAAAAAAAAAAAAATCAACTGACTTATCAATAAAATTACAAAAGTATCATCTTAGTTTCAAAATTGAAGATTTGTCATTGAGGGAAACCAAAAAAACGTGTTAAATTGTTATTTCTACGTATTTATTTTTACACATAATATCCTGTATACAAGTCACTGATGGTGTCGTGGTACACTGGCCGGAGTTGTGTGCGGGCGGCGTGGGATCGGTTCCCACTCAGCGATGGCGTGGGTGTGAATGGTCGTTTGTCTCTATATGTGCCCGCTGCGACTGGCTGGCGACCGGTTCAGGGTGTAGTCCGCCTTAATGTAATGAATTGACCAATGACTTTATGTAATTAGAACATGTGAAATATAAATGTAACAATATTTAGTTTCACAATAGTATAATCATAATACGAATGATGAATACGATTCATTCTTTTTTTTTTAATGCGTGATTTCTAGGTGAATTTTAATTAGTTGACAATAACTTCATTATGTAATGCATTTAAATGCATTAAAAAAAATTCTGACATTGTTTGGTGTTCATATTTTCAAGAAACCAAATTATTGAAGGAGTTCCACGAATGAGAAACAAAATAAAACCGTAAATTCATTTTCATCAAGCCATTTCAACCTCGGGAAAAAAATGGCTGCTGAACCCTTTCAGGGACGGCGGTTACTACAGTGGACAGCTTATCATGTTATCAGGTTATAGGGTGCATGAAAGGGTTAATGCAACAAATGTCGCAGGAGTCCTGATAGTGCGAAGGCTTTCATTAAAGAACGGATTGGCAGCGCCGCTGCGTACTTTGCCCGCCCCGGTTGACCGATTTGGTTGTGGTGCTTAATAACGTTATCGCCTGTGCCTCTGACTTTAAGGAGCGTCAAGTGGGAGCGTCTTCCCGGTGAGACAACCGTGTTGTGGCTTCCTTGTTTCTGCTCTTCGTCTTCCAGCTAAATGTCCCGTAGATGAACTTTTCTGGCAAATGAAGATCCCCCCCCGCGATCAACCGCCCGCCCGGTTGAATTGTCTCAAATCCAAACGCAGTTGTGAACGCATGAAATTGTAGCGCTGTGATGGATGTTGACCAGCCGGGCAGGTACCGAGTTGATCCACGGACTCATTTGGCAAAAAGTCCAGAAAGTGAACATGAGCGGATCCGAAACTAAATGTCATTGGGATCCCGACAAGCTGCTCGGTTGCGCAGTCGTGCGTCTTGAGGGAGAACCAGGTCGGAAAAAAAAAACCCCAAGACAAACTACTATCACCATTTCAATGTACTTGCTGACTGCAATTCTTCCTCCTCACCCCAAATACTGCACACGTTCAAACATTCTCACTTCAACATGAAATAATCTTCATCGTGAATCAGTTACAAAGCAATCACGTTTCCTTTTCAAAATCTTGCCACATGAAATTTAGACACTCAACCATGTTGAAATGGTTCTGTCCTGTTTAGCTACTTGCTAGTATTGAAAAGTTCCACACTATTCACCCTTCCTTCCTTCCTTCCTTCCTTCTTTCCTTCCTTCCTTCCTTTTTGCCACCCTTCATTTTTTCCCCATCCTTCCTTCCATCCCTCTCTTCCTTCCTTGCTTCACTCCCTTCCTTCCTCAATTCCTTCCTTGCTTTCTTCTTTCCCTCCCCTTTTTTCATCCGCCCTTGCTTCCTTCCTTGCTTCTTTCAGCCCCTTTGTTTCCCCCGTCTTCTCTTTTCCCTTCGTTCGCTGTCGCAGTTGAAGCTTGGTCAGAGTGCGTGTGCGTGTGTGTGTGTGTGTGTTTGTCTTGTCATGTCACTTCCTGTGGATTGCGTTTTTGTCCTTTTTGGGTCCATGTCCGTGTGTGTTTAGCTGGCAAGTGAAACTGTGATTGTGTTGGTCCTCTGCTGTTGTGTTGGGTGTTGTGTTCACATAGATATGAATCAAAAAGCTGTTGTGCGCTCTCATCTCCGTGCGGATCGTATCCCAAACGTTGAAACGAGGCTTCACTGTATGTGAGTGTGTCCTTCTGTGTTTGTGGACCCCAGTCACTCACATTCTGCGTGTGTGTGTGTGTGTGTGTGTGTGTGTGTGTACAGGTGGTCCATGAGGCATACAGCAGGTTCACAGAAGAGTCACTCGCGCAGTCGACGTGCAACAAACCAGCTGAGGACTCCGACGTCACCATCAAGGTCAGTGTGACCGTCATAGGGGTGTCAAGCCTGTTTTTAGGGGGTGTGCTACAGCACCCCGAAAGTAGATCCAAGCACTCTCCCTCAAAAAAATAAATAAATAAATTGAGGTTTTAAAATTGTAATTACCGTGTAGCATTTTTTGTTCACAAGCCAGAGAAGTGTTCAAACCATACAGTGCTTGGTGGAAATGTTTTTGCCAACAAAAGTACCGTACCCACTTTTGCCTCAAAACTGAATTCAATCACTTGATCACTTCCACTTCTTCTCGACTGAGCCACGAGCCGAGAGTGAGTCGGCTAGTATTATAGTTTAAAAAAGAAATGTTAATTTAGGGCAACATTGATCAGCCCTGCAATGAAGAGACAATTTCAACACCATATCTTGTGTTGGTGCATGTGTGCGAGGAGAGGAATGAATCTATAAATAATGTTGGTGGGTTGTGTTCATAAATGAATGATGCCTTCCCCCGCCCCCCCAGCTGACCTGAATTTGGACGACTTCCTGTTCTGTAAACTCTTCCCTCTTGTGCCTCCTCCACTCGACTTCATCTTAAAAAAAAATACACTGTGTTTGTATGACGTTAGCAGCTAAGCTAATGTAGCAGCTAAGCTAGTGTCAGATTACACATGGACATCCAAACTTCTTCAATCAATCCCATTCCTGTCTTTGGCTCAGGGTGTGGAGGTTTCCAAAGCGGGCGGCTACAAGGCGCTCACGTCAGACACCAACTTCCTGGAGATGAGCGACTCCGGAGTCGACTCGGGCCTGCCCCCAGACAGCGATACAGACGCCACCGTGACCTTTGCCTCCCACAAGCCTCTCCTCGACGCTCATTTCCCGAGCCCGGTGTCCGAGAGAGATCTCCCGGACGGCCTGGCAGCCGCGACGGTGCCCGACGGAGACGTCCGAACCCCCGTCGATCCGCCCACTGGCGATGAAACGGCGGCCGAGGGCGGAGAAGCTGAGCAAAAGGAGGACGCGTCACAGAGCACCTGAAAGGTAGCATTAGCATCCATCCAGTGGCGAGCTATTTTGAGGGAAGCACAATCACCGATCCGGACATCAGTGTCAACTACAACAAAGGGTTTTCAAACTTTTGGGGTCCAAAGACCCTCTAATAATCCTAAAAGCAATTCAACCTTAAATTTAGACCTTGAAAAATATTTTTTTTCTGGAACATGTCAACCGAAATATCGAACATCATAGAAAGGAACCAAATTGAGTAACAACATGTCTGTGAACAAAGAGGAGCTAGTTTGTAAAAGCACAATCAGTGTTGACAACTTAGCGATTTGTAGCGACTTTTCCGAACTCTCCAGCGACTGTGAACCATGCTAGTTAGCCGCCTGCGTCACGACGTCATTTATTTCACCAATCGTGGACGCGCTAACTCTCGCACTTGGTTGCAAAGAATGATTTCAAAACTGTGTTATAACAAAGCTGAATTTGTTGATGAGTGGCACATGTAAATTTGATATCCTACTGGAAGTTTTGCCTTCTATAAGAGACCCTCTTCATGAGCACATTTTGCAAATCCTTCCTCTACCGAGCCATGGTCACTGAAATTTTTCCAAAGGTGTGAAAAATGATTTTGCCGACCACTGGGGGTCCAGGCACCCCACTTGACGACATGACCTCGAGCACAATACCGACCTAAGCGCGACATCAGAAGAAGAACAAAACAACTGTGTGCATGCCTTCAACACAAGCACTCGTCGTTGACTATAGAGTAGTTGTCCAATCACACTGCATGTGAGCCACAAACTAAACCGCTTCCGTTGAGGTCTCCGTCTCTGGGGATTTGGTGGAAACAACTCCAAATGGAGATTGAGCAGCCAATCATGTTGACCAAAATTGTGGCTAATTGAACTCCGGCTTGCACAGAAGCTTCTGGAATCACCGGACGTCAAGGACTCACTCGAGTTACATGACGTGAGTCGAGACAGTTTTAGGGTTAGCCCACATTGAAAACATATTGGATGTATGACCGATTGAGTGATCACGACTTCCTAGCCGTAGACGAAATGATCCAATTATCTCGTCGCTAAAGTCAATTGGAGCAGCATCAGGGAATCACATTTTAAATATTGGAACGTGTGTGTGTGTGTGTGTGTGTGTGTGTGTGTGTGTGTGTGTGTGTTAGTGAATGGGTGTTTCGATCAAATTAGATGTCAGGCCCCGACAAGGATAAGCACAACATTTTGAAGAGATTGAGCAGCCAATCATGTTGACCAAAATTGTGGCTAATTGAACTCCGGCTTGCACAGAAGCTTCTGGAATCACCGGACGTCAAGGACTCACTCGAGTTACATGACGTGAGTCGAGACATTTTTAGGTTTAGCCCACATTGAAAACATATTGGATGTATGACCGATTGAGTGATCACGACTTCCTAGCCGTAGACGAAATGATCCAATTATCTCGTCGCTAAAGTCAATTGGAGCAGCATCAGGGAATCACATTTTAAATATTGGAACGTGTGTGTGTGTGTGTGTGTGTGTGTGTGTGTGTGTGTGTGTGTGTGTGTGTGTGTGTGTGTGTGTTAGTGAATGGGTGTTTCGATCAAATTAGATGTCAGGCCCCGACAAGGATAAGCACAACATTTTGAAGAAAGTAATAATCACCCCGCAAGCTAGTAGCAGCTAATGTAAATACGTCTGTGAACGTACTGTTTACTAATGTTAAAGGATTGATTTTTCTATGGCATGTTTCTTATATATATACATATACCCACAATGATATATAGATAAGTGGAAATGCTTGAGCTTGACTAATGTAAGCAATATATCTGATAGCACTGATTGATTTGAAATGAAATTGTCCTTACCGATGGTTGTGAATACAAACATTTTTCTTCACTCTGCATGCTTTTCCTCAATTTGGGCATTTAGCGGAATTTTTATTTCGACACAATCTTTGACTCATGCACTTATAAGCATATGTAAATACATATTATCTATTTCGAAACGTCAAAAGTTGCCCTCGTCCTATTTGGAAAATCTGAGTGTTCTTTCCCTTTCTGATGCTAATTATTTAGCAACGGCTGTTTTGCTACTCTGAAAGTCTTGGTTGTGGATTAGCAAAAATGAGTAACATTGGTAATAGTTAATTTTGTTGTTTAAAATCAAAGAACTTTTGACTTTTAAACATTAAACACATTGGGCTCGACATTAGCCGCCAAAGCCGCCGCCATATTGGTCAGGGCAGGTCTCAACTATGTGCATGGACGCGATGCCTTATGACATTTTCCGATTATTTTTTAACACATATTTTTTAAATGTGAGTTACTCGCACACATAAACACGTTTCTTTTTTAACATTAACATATCAGCGCATGCACTTGTTGAAGTCGTAAAACGAGTACAGACTTCATGAAATATTGTCATTGATGTAAATCTATTCTTGATTCAAGATGAAAGCCTGAAATTAGATTTTGCGTCACTCAAGAAGAGATGATTTCACACTATATTAATTGTGTCGAAGTATTCCCACGTAGTGATTTGTACAGTTACGGAGCAAACATGGATGTACACAATGTTCACGAGGTGTCACCAGTTCACACGTGTTTTATTTTTTTGAGACTGTCAACTGCTTTGTGTGCATGCGATGCCAAGTCTTATTGATGAATGTTTCATACTGCTTCATATTTCTTTTTAACTCAACCACTTTGTTGTACAGCCACAAACAAACGCTCCATTGTCACTTGGAAGAACCATTTCACATTTCTACACTCTGTATGACCTTTTGCATCCTGCCGAGAGTTTTGTAGTGCTTATGTTTTTCTGTCATGAATGAATAATTCAGAATAAATGAAATTTCAGTACGATGTTTCCCAGTTGGCATCTTTTTGAAGTTGAATCACCTTGTGTCGGATTATTCTATTAAAATGGAAATTATTTCTACCTCCCACATATACACAATCGCTTTAGGATGTCTCTTTTTAGTTCTTTTTATGATGTACTGCTAAAGTGTACGAAAAGTCGAAAATGTACTTGCCGAGTTCACGAAATGGTACTCTGCGTTCTATATATTGAAAAACAGACTGAGAGGTACAGATATTTAATACAGTTTGGGTCCTTAAATCCGTTCCATGATACATATCTTCAGATGTGCTGCATTGTTTTGCCATCCTATAACTAAAATGGAGGAATTTGCTTTTTATCTTTTCTAATTTCTCTATTTTCAGTGGATGTGCTTTGTTTTCATTGTTCTTGTTTCTTCATCAAGTGCTTCTGTCCAAGTATAAATAATCCTAATCAATAATTTCATGAGTACTAGCAATATCCGAAGGATACTTTTACTTTCACATTTCTCGTGCCCTTTGTTCAGTTTTCGCAGGCAGGTGTTTGACCTCATTTAAAAGACGCGGGGCCCCTTTAAGAAGGGGCGCGTCCTCGCTGAAAACGACCTGGCTGCCGGCCAATCGGGGAGGAGCCGGACGTGACGTCTGAAGAGCGCTAGGAAATCGCTGTCCCGACGCGCCAAATTTCAAAGTACTTCCTCCCCGGAGGAAAGAAAGCGGATCGAGCAGAAGGCAGCCCGGAGGACGACGGCGGCCGAAGCCGAACATTCCCCCGTGGTTCGACGCCTGCTCGACGGTTATTGGGGAGAAGAGAAGTCCGTTAACTTCGGTCGGCTGTCGTCGTCGTAAGTGTCGCGTTTTGGCTGTTTTTGTCGGGGAGGAAGCGACGTCAGCTAGCTTTGGCAACGCCACCGACTTTTCGATCTCCATATGCACGTCCGAGCCGTACAAATTCAGTCAAAGTTAAAAAAAAAAATACAAATCAGACCTAATCAGCAATGTGTGTGATTTACAGTTATGTAATCACGTTTGACCTGATTGTGGGGGTGGGGGTTCCGGTGAAGTTTTTTTTTTTTTTGATCCAGAAAAAGTGACACTTGAACGGGTGGGCAAAAGTGGCCCGCGTGCTCGACACATCCCCTGAGACAAATTAAACAGCCACAGGAGCAACATCCACACACACACACACACACACATTTTTTCACAACAGAGGACTTTTCACCACAGTAAAGCAAATTTTATCTCAGATGTAAACACACACACAACATATATGTGTACTCTTTATTTTTATTCCAATAGTGCATAAGTATGAGAACACACTTATTTGACACTTCATATAGCCAGTGTAGAAAGAAAAAAAACGGGAAAGAAATTGCGAAATTTACGATCAGCATTCGCTTTCACTTACATCAATTTCTTGCATAATGTCTTTTAATTGCATCCTCCGTCTTTCATTTGTATTACTTTTATCCTGTCTTCAAGTGTTAAAGCTTTTCTTTTCTTAACTCCTTGGTCTGCAAAGGTCCGTTTTGTAGCCATTTCAGCAATGCAACGTTCGTGCTGCGTCTGAAACGAACAATAACAAATATTTAATGTACTACTGCGCATGTGTAAACCAGTGTGGTGGTTGCTGTTGTCTTTCCGAGCTAAGCAGTAGCAGTGGCTGTGGCAGGCTGAGTTTAGATTGCTTTTAGGCTTGTTTGCGTTGTAGTGAACCTTATTGCGAGGCAAGGGTGGAGAAAAGGATTTCGTAATACGCAACAGGGGGGCTTGTCGTTGTAGGGGGAAGCAGAAAAGAGGGAATGGCTTTAATGCATGAAGATTTTTTTCACACTAGGCCTAGGGGTATTTTCGCACATGTAGGTTTCGTTGTTGAGGAGTTTCACTGTAATCTAAAAACTACTTTTACATTGCATGACTTCAAACAGGATTTTCTCCGGAGGGAAGGTTGCAATGGCGAAACAGAAACTGCAAGACTCGAAGAAAGACGGACACCCTTGAAAATGTACGTCCTGCATGAATTATTTATTGCCAGAATATTACATGTATCACTTCAGGCCCCAGTTGTAGCATGCAAACATCACTGGTATGATAATTGCTAATTGTTACTGTTTGCTTGTGTTGTAACTTGTACTAAATTGTACAACATAGCTGTAGATAATGGCAGCCTTCTATGCTGGCTTCACGGTTTTTCTTTTTCTTTCAGATTCTGTAGAGGGAGCACAAACCATGAATCATTAAGCTGAAAGGAACTTTTGTTTATTTAGCTTTTTTTTTTTTGACAGCCTATTCTTTACCCACAAACCTTCCTGCACAGAGCCCCCCCCCCCTGCCCCAGGCCAAGTGAGGATAGCTCATTTGCATAACTCATCAGCTCAGACAGCCTCATTTACACATGTCAGTCCACCCAGCTTCACATCAGATGCCATTCAGCCTACCGCAGATGCCTTCAACGTAATCATTTCCCACAAGCAGAGCGACTCCCCGAATGCAACGCGGTCCGCTGTAGCGCCGGGGAGGGCGGGGCGCGGCCGTCGGGCTTTTCCAGGACAAAAACGTCTGTCATGCTGTCGGGGGCGCAGCCGTGTTTCCAGCTACTCCGCATTGGCTCCTCGGCGGGGGGCTCGACGCGGGACCTGTACACCTTCAGGCCGGCACCAGGCCACTCTGTGTTCCGTCTGGGTCGGGCGGAAGAACTGTGCGATGTCACGCTGGACTCACCGGTCGTGTCGCGCGTCCACGCCGAGCTGCACGCCGAGCGCGAGCCCACCAGCAATGGCGGGGAGGAGGAGGGATGGAGGGTCCACATCAAGGACCGGAGCACTCATGGTGAGATGGGAACATAAGCACACATGTTGGTGAACAATTTTTTTTTTTTTTAAACGTGAATCCATCGACGCCACCACACAACATGAACAAAAACATGTCGACACAACCACTCAAAAGTGGAAAGAAAAAACATCGACACAAATGTGGCTCTCCAGGCACTTGGGTGAACGAGGTCCGCCTGCAGGCCGGCATCCAATGGGAGCTGTCGGACGGCGACGCGCTGACCTTCGGAAACCAGGCGGCTCCCGGCAGTCCCGAGTTCTACTTCCTCTTCCAGAAGGTCAAAGTTAGTCCGCTGGACTTTGACGCCATCACCGTTCCCAAGGTGAGACACGTGAAGGACCACCTCCAGATTTTCTCTTGTGCTCAAGATCCGCATTTTTGTCTTCTTTACCTTCAGGCCGGGACGTTTTCCTCGGACCTGCAGAACCGGATCAGAACCAACTCTGAGTGCAAGGCGGCGCCGGGTGTGGATCTGTCCAAGCTGTCCATCAACCGCGCCACCGTCATCCTCAACTCCATCGGCAGCCTGAGCAAGATGAAGGGCAGCGCCTGGACCTTCAGGAGGAGCCGCAGCCACGACGGCGCTGCCTCAGACCCGGGATCCTCTTCCCCGCCGCCGCCTTCTACGCCGCCGTCCGTCTCGCCCGCCGCCTCCTCGCTGGCTCCCAAGTCCCTGGGCCTAAAGTGCCTTGCCCCTAAGTCCTTGGCGCCCAAGCCCTTGGTGCCGGCCTCCAGGAGTCGCAGGAAGTCGGCTCACACAGTGCTGCTGGAAGACGAGAACTCGGACGAGCCCCGGAGTAGGATGGGTGAGGCTTGCCGCCAGCACGCGAAGATCATCATTTAAATTTGATGAATTCACGCTTGTTACGTTTTCATGATGTTGAACAGAGTTTTCTGGTCTGGTTGAGTCCCGGCAGGTCTGGAGGAGGAAGCGCAGCGATCGCAAGGCAGGAAGAAGCGTCGTCTCTATAAGTCCGCCTCGCATGATCTCTGCTCGCCGCCACCTCCTCCGCCATCTTCCCACCCGCGTCCCCACGAAGCCAAACCTTTTCCGGTGGGCATCAGAACCATCGGCAGCTTCCACGGCGCCATGACCAACACCCGCCTGGACCACCATTACCAGCACCACATGCCCCCTGCGCCACAGAGACAAGACCGCCAGGAGGCCACGGCGCCGCCACATCAATTTCAGAACACGGCCGCCTTCCGCCAGCAAAGACCCATGCTGTCGGCGCCGAGGGGCCGTCGGAGGGCTCACAGCTCGCCGGTTTTCTCACCCCTGGTGGTGGGAGGCGAGAGCTACAACCTGGCGTCGCCCTCGGTGAGGGTTTGCACGGCACCACGGGGCCGCGCGGCGTTCAACAGGTTCCACCAGCAGCCTAGGTAAGACTACGTGAGGTGCTCTTTCATTTTCGACATACAGCTGTGAATAGTGAAACTTGAGTAATTGACACATTCTAATACAAAAAAAAGGGGCTTTGGAGCCATCTATAGGCAGTTTTGAACTTTTACGAAGGGGGGTCAATTAGGGACCACATGACATGCATTTTAACTCCTATTCTGATATCTACCAAAAATAACATTCAGATAACTGATTGATTAACGTCTTGTGTCTTGTTTTTTTTTTTTTTTTTTGGTTTTTTTTTCTGGGGATAAAGAATACATGACCGTATGTGGTTTTGTATCCTTCGTCTGAATGTGTCCAACTATGTTCTTTTCAAGTTTATAACTACCGCAACACAGATGCTAATTTCTTTAGCCTGTTTATGGCATTTTGCATTGTGTGTTAGCTTTAAGCTATCACATGTAAAACAAAGTTAAGACCGTTTGATGAAATGCCCACTTTTTTTTAAACGTAAATTTCTACTGGGAGTAATTTTCACACCAGCGTTCCCTCCTCTCACTGATAACTTCCGCACAGCAGGCGTCGCGGCCGTCCCCGGAAACACCCACTTCCTCCTCGGCCCTCTCTACCCTCGCCATCCTCCTCGTCGTCATCCTCCTCCACTTCCTCGGCCTCGTCCTCCTCAGGCTCATCCTCATCATCCTCGTCGGACGAAGACGAGGAGGGGGAGCCGACAAAGGCCGTGCCGTCGGCTGGTGGGTCGGTGGAGCCGTGCGCGGCCCCACGCTGCCTGTTGCCCCAGCACGACCCGGTCCAGTGGATCCAGTGCGACGTGTGCGATGCTTGGTACCACATCGACTGTCTCCACGTGGACCGCAAGAAGCTGCTGAGGGACCCCAATGCTGACTTCCACTGCGGCTGCTGCTGAGAGCCACCGCAAACACTTGTTCATTTTCAACGTCCTCGTGCCTCCTTGGAAGAATCCAACGACTCAGGTGGGATTTTCCTGTCGGTCATGATGAAATTCGCCGATAAAGATGATTTTTTTCCCCCGCCTCAGCCTTAAATAAAACTTTAGGAAATGTCTACCCAGTGACTCAGAAAAACAGACATTATCCTTTACTTTCCTGAGGATGAAGGTGCTATGGACAATAATCTGTTGCCCCACTGCCATTCTACACAGGCAGCGCTGCCGTTTTTTGGAGACAGTAGCTCACAGGCCCATGTCATGGTGCTCTTCCTCACAGGCCACTTTATTAGGTACACCATTTTTTTTTAAGATTGACATCCATAAATTTTTATCACACTTTTTTTGGGGGGGGGGGGCAGCGGAATCTAAATGTTAATTGTATAATTTACAGTTTGTCCACAACATGACTTCAGTTGCACACTACCTTGAAAGAATATATCAACAATATTCGTCCCCAACAGCAGTCTGACTTATGAATTAATTAAAATTTTAGGGGACACCAAGATGTTCCCCTGCTGTACTTGGACTAGACATACCTGTAAATCAAAAATGAATGTCTTTGTAAAGGCAGTATTTTTTTTTTTTTTAATCTTAATGTTATTAAGTGGTGTACCTAATGGTGTCCAGTGATTCTCCCGTCTATTGGACCTCAACACGGGTTTCAGTTTTCAAATGGTTGGGGGGAGTAAAAAAATATATATATATTGGTCTGCACGGTCATTTTTGGTGCCCCCCTGTGGCTACATTGTGAAACTTCAGTCAATGTTAATCGTCTTAATGCTAATGAGGTGGTGGGCAAGCAATCTGTATAAGAAAAGAAATTGTTGATTGTCGGGACAGAGTGATGTGATTTTTCTTTGTTGACCAATCAGATTGCTTGTACTTCATATTCCACTCTGTCACTAGGGGGTGGCAGAGAGAAGTGGTAGACTTAAAAAAAAAATGTATTCGCCGAGCTGGCAATGTTTGAAGAAACAAATCAAGTGTTCAGAAGAGTTTCAAATGATCGCCCCCTAGTGCATTGGTGTACTTGCAAACAATAGGAACGTTTTAAGTGTGAGTTGTGTGTGAGATCTGCGTTGTGTGTTGATCCAGTAAACACAACAATGTTCATCATCTCTTTTGGCTAATTTGTCTATTTAGTGTAAACAAATCGAGCGCACCTTCACAGACTCGCTTCTCACTGACCTAACCAGTACCTCCAAAAAGCCACAAATTATTGCATCTGACGTTTTCATGTGATCCCAACATTAAGCAATGACATTATGACAAAAGTTTTCATTTCGTATACATCCACCGGAAATCATGATCCCACGCAGAGCGTTACAGTTGCTGAACAATAAAATCGATTCCGGCGTCCAAGTCGTACCTCCGCCGGCAAAGCAAGCTGGTTTTCAATCGCCTATTCCAATGTCTCTGGTAATTTTTCCTTCCAATGCCAAGCATTTCATGATGTCCTTGTAACTCATCCCGAGCCTGAAATAAAATTCGATCACCCCGTCCCAGTGGGTTCGAAAAGAAGGTGGGTTCGATTTTCGTATTCAAATGACCCGCAAGAACCCACGGCTACTTGGTGCGCACTTTCTATTTTGTGTAGCGGTCCATACAAAAATAATTCGTTCCCACAAAGTAGTTCCTGCTGCGTACATATTCGTTACAATGTGTTCACAAAGTATTTTTTTTCTCCCCACTTGTCATGTCTGAGACTCCGTACAATCACGAGTGAACTGTGTGCGCAAAATGCACGATTTTTCTTTTTTTCAGTTGAATTTAAAACCACACTTCGTAGTGTTGTTTCGTGAGAAAGATGTTTTTCATGTTCCTAGTGCCTTTTCAATGTTAACCACAAGGGGGCAGTGTTGTCTTGGTGCCAGATGTGCTCTTATTACTTGGAATGCCTCAGCGTGTGTGTGTGTGTGTGTGTGTGTGTGTGTGTGTCTGTGTGTGTGTGTGTGTGTGTGTGTGTGTGTGACTGATCTCAATAACATCTCCCTTCTCCATCCCACTGCTGGGTCCTCCTTTTATCTTCCCACTATGATGTCTTTAAAAAGCCTCCACTGGGCCCTAAAAGGATCATTGTGCTCTTTTGAAGGCTGTCTTACTGGAAGACAAAATGGGCGCCCCGATAAGGCTGCCACGATGAGTGTTGACCATCGCGGGATAAAGCCGCTGAGTACCATCCCCATCAATCCACTATTCCTTTACAAGACATAGTGATCACATGACGTGCGGTATTGATTTAGCCCTAAGGCTAGATGTTATGGCAGATTTATAACGCACACAAAAAAAAAAACTCGATTTTTCTTTCTAGTTAGCTTTGTTTATTGCACTCAAGTGAAGGTGCATTTACGGAAGTGTGACGATAACAGCTTTGGCCTACTCCAACTTGTTACCTGTCGGGAAATGAGATTTTACACTTTTTCCTCCACTGTCCCCATGTCGACCTTTAGCGTGCCCTGCTCCCCCTGCTACACACCCACACACATACGTTAATAACGTCATTAATAATTTCTCTGTACAAGCGACCTCAAAGTGAGCTGCCATATGAAAGGAGGAGGGAGGGGCTCCCCCCCCCCCGGGCGACGACGCGGTCCCCCAAAAGCTGAGAATTAATTGGCCTTTCATCCGGTGCTTCGCATTGGTCTCAAAAGACGCTAAAAGATGAAAAACGCGCAGCGTGAAAAGTTCAACACAACAAGCGCGCAGAAGCCAACAAAAGCACATTTAGCAACATCTTAACCTGTGCACACGTTTGGGAACATTTGCAAAGGAGCAAGTCATTCTCCCTGGGATACTGTTACAGATGACTTTTATATATACCGGCACTGAATTGAAGTTCATTATTCATGAGGTTAAATATTTCAACAGGACATTAAGGCTTTGCATTCCAACAAGAACAATTGTTGTTTCGGGGTTCTGGGGTTACTATTGTACGTACCGAGTCATAAAAGTCACTACTCGTGTTTCTACACATAGTTCATCTGCACTTGAAAGATGAAAGTTTGTTGGTGAACTTTTAATGACGAGCAAAATGTCCCGGCCGCTTTGAACGTGAGCCGCGTGGTCGCGCTCCTCGAGTGAGTTCAGCCTTGCGTCAGTCGCCGCGAAAAGAAGAGACAATGTTTGCCTTAGACGCGACGTGACAGAGTTGGCGAGGGGACGCCTTTGTGATGCTCTCTTCATGTGGAGACCACCCAGGAATAGAAAAAAAAAGTGCTGCTGGACTCCGCAGGATAGTAGTACTTCTTTGCTGCTTCACATTTTGTTGTGTTTGTTTTGTTAATTCTAAGCATTGATTTGATCACAGGTTGAAACATGTACATGTAAGGTGCAGGTACCATTGTTGTCCACTTGGGGTCACCATTCCCACGGTCCCCTTTGAAATACAGTAGCTGTGACTTTTGAGTGTGTTTGTGTGTGTCTGGCTTAAGAAGGTGGGGCCGAAACTGGTGAGTGACATGGGTGTCAGCGAGTGATAGTTTAAAGTTGGATGTTGTGAGCTCAGGTTAGCAGCTAGCCGTTAACCGGATATCCCGTTTTCATGTTGACTGGGTGCCAGCCCACCTCCTTTTACTTAAAACAGTTTGACCATGCGTGACAGTTTTTGCTAGCATGCTATTTAGGGTAGCATGCTATCTCATACAGCTGGTGAGCCTCATGTTCAAGCCGATTTGTTTGTGTTAAATCTTGAACCGATCGTATGTATTTGTTTGTGTAACACGGGTTCATGATTGTGTACATGTAAATGCAATGTGTTGATGTTTTATGGTCTTATGTTTTTCAGTGCTTCGTGAGATTTCTTTTTTTTTTTGCCATCTTTACGCTATTGCAAACTCTTTTAAGGGGTGGGGGTGTCAATTATTTACGGATTGTCACTTATTGGGGCAAGAAATATGTATGCCTGTATATTGGACCCCACCTTCAAAACCCATATCGCGGCTCATTGTCCACTCAGCTACTTTATTGAAGATTTAAAAAAAAAACTTTTTTTTTTTAAGTTTTTGTACCATCACACACCCCCTCAAACTCACTTCCACTCAACCCCCCTCATTCCCAAACTTGTCCCCTTCACCTTCCCACTCACACTCATTAACCCCAAACCTATATAAACCCGGGCGCACCCCCAAACATTCCCCCCACGTCAAGTTACCCTGGTTTTTCTTCCCGACGTGAAGCAAGATGACTTGGTCTCTTTGTCACTGCTGGGGGGCTAAACAGGGATTAGGCTGACACACACACACACACACACACACACACACACACACACACAGGCACACATGCACACATGCACACGCACACACATCGGAAACAGAGTACATCTGCAAATGAAGTGTTGTTTTATCCCGTGAGATTCATGAACCTCAACAGTGAACATTTTTTATGCTCTCGCACACACCTTCTTAAACGTGTTCTCCAAATGTTGTTTCCTCCCCGCCGGTGCTGAGCCTGTTGTTCTATTTATGGCCGATGTTGACTTGATGTAAGACGATCGCAAAGTGCCTCGCTCCCATCCCTATGCTGCTCGGAGGCGTTTGCGTGCACCCACGCGTGCACGTTCAAGCCTGTCAAGGTGTGCGCGTGCCGTGGAGTGATGGCCACATGCAGCGCAGTTGCGAGCAGATGCGATGTCGGCTAATCGACGCTATTAAATGCGCAAGTGTGTGTGTGTGTGTGTGTGTGTGTGTGTGTGTGTGTGTGTGTGTGTGTGTGTGTGTGTGTGTGTGTGTGTGTGTGTGTTAAACACATAAACGTCGGAGTGGCTCGCGAGTAAAACGCTAAACAAGTTGTATTAGCGTCTCCAAAAGCACTAAAGCTTTTTGGTGCCTCGCGCTGTGGGTGTATTGTAATGTGATGTTACACGCGGTGCCAAACGACAACATTTGCACACAAATAGCGCCGTTAGCTTCTGACGCAGCTTGACGCGCTTGGCTCGTGCTCATTTGCATATTCACTTTAAGGGGCGTTAAATTCAGACCGTTCTGCTCCTCTTGTTTATCACCTTCAACCTAAGAGTGTAAAATAAGGTCAAACTATTTACTAAGTGTAGTGTTTTTGTAACGTGTGAATGCGCATTCTGGTTTGGCCGTGTGTGATGTCACGTTAGTTTGTGCTAGCATGCTAGCTAATCCTGTTCACAGGCTTCCTGAGAAGATGGTTTGTTTGTGTCGGATTATGTACCTTATTATATCTAGTGAAAACCCACGAAAAAAAACATTTTAAAAAGCGAAAATGATTAAAAAAAAATTGAAAACAAACTGAAACTACATCTTTTATGAAACTGATGTACAGTATATGAGTTTTTGGGGTTTATTACAAATATTTAAAACAACAAAACCAAAAGAATAAAAACAAAACTAAAACAAGAATAAAAACAAAACAACAAACAAGCCTTTTCTAAAAACTAATTAAAAATTAAACCTCACACTAATAAAATCTGATACTTACCGAATAGTCGTTTCGTAACTTGGCTTCCTGATTGTTTACATGCTAGATACGTGGCCTTGATACTTGATGATCCTCCCTGGTTTGTAAGTGCTTCCTCCTGACTAAATGCATGCAGACAGACAATATAACAATAGTCACATAGTCTGTCTTTATCCTCTGCGAAGAATGACTAATAGGACTGCTGCTTACTGTCGACTGACGCTCTCTATACCCGTAAATCTGACACCGCTATTCAGTATGTCAGTTCGTGATGTTATAAAGTGCGTTTTTGGCAAGCCGATGCAACTGCGTCTCTCTCGAATAAAAGCTTCCAGTCTAGCGGCTTCCGTGGAGAACATCACGTTAGCGTCGCGTTAACAGGATGCTAACATGATGTTCGTTTACCATCGCTTCCTCGCGCCACTTAATTCCTCCTCGTTTCCTCTCCACCTCGCACGTTTGCACTCGCTGCACTCCTATCTATGCACGTCACACGCCATTGGCCTTAATAGCGCTCATTTATGTGCCCCGGGTTGTATTTCATAATTGAAATGAGGCCTCCGCAATTCTTACTTTTGGACACTTCATTAGGGACGCCCACACCTTACATCCATCCATCCATTTTCCGATCCGCTTATCCTCACAAGGGTCGCTGGGACAGGCTTCAGTTCACCCGCTGAAGGGGATCTTTAGCGACAAAAGACAGTCAAATTATAAGGAACAGATCCCCATCGGATGCGCTGCGATTCAGTGCAAGCACCAAAATAAACACCGAACATTATTCTCTTGTTCAAGGCAGAATTTATATCTCGGATCTCATTAGTTTGTGGACTCGACACACACACACCACAATAAAATATGAACGTGTGCAGTCATCGTAAATAGAGCTCGTGTTGATGTCGTTGTGATGTAAATAAACCTCAAGAGAAGCAAAGTCTAATTAATTGTAAACAAAGCACCTTGAGCCTGCTGGTGAGGCTGATGGGAGGGGGTCGGATGGTGTTTTTGTGAGTAAGGCGGGGGGGGGGGGGGGCTGACGGTGGTGAAGATGGAGGGAGTGAGTGAGAAGAAAGAAAAC